CAATACATGGGGGGAGGGGGGTTGTTACTTTGTGAGGGTGAAAAGGGTAACTATTGCATTGTTCTGTACACCTGAAACTAACAATAAAAAAAATAATAAAAAATAAATATATATATGCTCTCAAATAGGCATATTCTGATGTTATATAAATATGTAAATTGAGATATATAAATCTAAAACTGCTTCTTAATGTAATAGTACTGTAAAAAGATAGAAAATAAGGTATATTTCTTCTCATTCTGGTTGAAAGGGCTGTATCAACAACTTAATATTTTTTGTCTTCAAAAACTTTATCATTTATAACAGGTATATTAATTCGCTCCTGTTTTCCTTTTTTTTTTTTTAAAGCTAAAGATGCTGAAAACAGTAAGATGAGCAAATAAAGTGCATAAAACTCTGAAAAATGGTGTAGGACACACTATTAAGCCAAAAATAAACACAGGCAAAAAAGAGATAATAGAAGAATAGATTTCATCAAAATTAAAAACTTACGTGCATCAAAGGACACTATCAAGAAAGTGAAGAGCAACCCACAGAAGAGGAGATAGCATATGCAAATCATATAACTGCCAAGGGATTATATCCTGAATATATAAAGAATTCCTGCAATTCAACAACAAAAAAAACCACCCAATCTAAAAGTCGGCACAGAACTTGAGCAGACATTTCTCCAAAGATATACAAATGGTCAACAGGCACGTGAAAAGATGCTCAGCATCACTAATCATCAGGGAAACGCACATCAAAACCACAAGGAGATTCCACTTCACATCCATTAGTTTGGCTACAATTAAAAAACTGAAAATAGGGGCGGCGGTTAGCTCAAGTGGTTAGAGCCCAGTACTCATAACACCAAGGTTGCCAGTTCGATCCCCACATAAGCCACTGAGTTGTGCCCGCCACAACTAGATTGAAACAACTACTTGACTTGGAGCTGATGGGTCCTGGACAAACACACTGTTCCCCAATAAAATTTAAAAAAAACAAAACACAAAACCCAGAAAATAACAAAAGTTGGCAAAGATGTGGCGAAATTGGAAACTTTGTGCTTTACCTCCAAGAGACCCACCCCAGATGCTCTGGGTGGAGGTAAGAGAAAAATCCCCTCCTGTTTCACCTAGGTATATCATATTCAAACTGCAGAAAATCAAAGACAAAGAAAATTTTGAAAGAAGCTAGAGGGAAAAGACATCTTACCTATAGAGAAACAAGGATAAGAATTACATTAGACTTCTCTTCAGAAGCCATGTAGGCAATAAGAGAATGGAATGAAATATTTAAAGTGTTGAGAGAGAAAAAAAATGCAATTATCCTTCAAAACTAAGGGAGAAATAAAAATTTTCCGAGATAAAAACTAAGAAATGTGTCACAGTAGACCTTTCTTGCAAGAAATATTTTAAAAGTTTTCAGAAAGAAGGAAAATGATGTATGTTGGAAACCTGGATCTACATAAAAAAGAGGAGCATTAGGGAAGAAATTAAATTTTTTTAGTTCCTTAAAAAAATTTTTTTTTATTTTCTTACTCTTAATTGATCTAACAGGTAACAGTTTGTTCAAAGTACTAATAGCAACAATACATTGAGTGATTTTAGATTAAGTAAGGATAAATGAAATGAATGTCAGCAATGTTATAAGGGATAGGAGGGAGGATTGGGAATATTCTGTTACACGATGGCCATACTACCCCTGGAGTGGTCTAGTGTTACTTAAAAGTGGACTTATATAAGCTGTAAATACATACTGCAAAACTCCAGGGCAACCACAGAAATACATACAAACAAAAAGAAACTTGAAGAAGTATAAATGATATGCTAAGGAGAAAATGGAATAGTATAAAATGCTCAATTATAACCAGGGTAAGGAAGAAAAATGGTGAGAGACAAAAAAGAAATAAAAAACAAGTTCAACTAATAGAAAACAGTTACAAATATAGTTGCTATTAAGCCAACTAAATCAATAAGCACTTTAAATGTGAATAATCTAAATTCACCAAATAAAAGACAGAGACTGCAGAGTGGATAAAAAAACAAGACCCAACTCTTGTTTCTTCAAAATACTCACTTTAATACAGACACAGGTAGGTTAAAGGGATGGAGACATACAATGCTAAAACTAATCAAAAGAAAGCTGGAGTAGCTACATTCATTTCAGACAAAGTCTACTTCAAGGAAAATTACCAGGGATATACAGAAAGCATTACATAATGATAAATGGAAGAATTCTCCACCAAATAATCCTTAAAGTGTATGCACCTGCTTATTTCCTCCATATCTAGTAAAGTGCTTACTTAGTACATAGCAACACCTTAACTGAAAGATAAGCGACGGTAACTGGAGAAAATTACATTTGGATTCTAATACTCTTCATGCCAGAAGTAATAAAACATTTTTTGAATTTATCATCTTTTCCAATACATACTTCAAGTGGTTTTAGTTCCCACTAACGTAAATTCCAATACTCTAAAGGAAAATGTATAAACCCAAAAGTATATAGAGTCCAAGCAAGTAAATAAAGCAAATTGGAAGGATATGACAGCTAACTTTAACCCATACGGAACAGCTATGCGCTCACTCAGGTCAATTACTGCTACATTCATGACTTCTCAACCTCAGCAGTATGACATCTAAAGTCTAATTCCATTTGAAAAATTTACTTTCCATTTGTCTTGTCTTTAGAGGAGGCAAACACTGCAGGCTGTATCCAAGACTTTCAAAGCATGACATTACTCTTCATCCAGACAATGAAGCATGCTGGACACATCCCTTCTCAAAAGTGACATCACTGACTAATCTCATGTTGGAATTCTTCCTGCTGCTTCTCTAAGCAATACAGTCTCCCAGGTTACGCTAACATATTAAACTCATTTTCATTTTTGTAATACAGAAAGGCAGTAATCCACATGCAAAAGCAGTGGGGCACATGGTCCCTGACATCCACGAGTTAGATAGTTGGGATGTAAAACTTAACATTCATGAAACAACAAAAGGGCAGTTTTAGGGGGAGAAAAGTTTTGTTCTCCCCTCCCCGTTTCTGGAGACTACAGGTAATTAAAATGCTTAATACCAAATTCCTGAGGATTATTTAGCACTTTTCCAAGTTTCTATTTTTTCACACCTTATTTTAGAATAATCGTTGACTTTTATTATGTAAATATATTTAATATATGGCTTTATTCAGAATAGAAGCTTAATGAATATTTTATTAATAAATGATGAAACTAAATCTGTGCGGTTTAACCAATAATTAAGGAATATTATCATACAAACATTTGAATATACTATGTCTCTAAAACATAACAGAAGATAAATGATTGCTATAAGAACATTAATTCAGTCAGACAAAAAAATTCTTATGAGCGTATTCTCTTTACCAGGCACAATACTAGGCACTAAAGACACAAAGAAACTACAATATGCTAAATACTTATTCTCATGAAACTTAAAATTAGCGTTAAACTATATGTAATTTGAGAGAAGCTGGAGAGGACTCTGCTAACGAATTTTCACCATTAAAGAGCCATTCTTTTGAATCTTCAAGGCCATTCAAGGTCAAAATTCTTTAAGGTGACCATGTCATTCACTTATTCATTTAAGAAAAACTTATTGTGCACCTACAGGAGATTAAGCAGTAAACAAAACAAAGTCTCTATTCTCATGGAGCTTACATTCTAATGTGCATGGAGTGGGGAGTCAGAAAATAAGAAGACAGAGATAGGAAATGACATCTGCTGTAAACAAAAATAAAGCAGGGAAAAGAAATTGGAAAAAGTGTTGAGGAGGGAAACCATGAACATATTTAAACTGAAACACAGGGCATGGGAGGGGAGGGGCCGGGAGTCTTAAATATCAAACTAAGGAATCTGGACCTTTTTGATCAGGTACTAAAGTACAATTTAAAAATTTTAAACAAAGCATGATAATCAGAATACTGTTCTAAAAAGATTATTTTCTCATAGATTTGAAAGGATGGATTGGAGAAGGCAGAACTATGTAAGAAGCAGTCTATTAGCAAGCTGCTACAATAGCCCACAAGAAATGATGAGGGCCTACACTGAATCAATAGCAGTGGGATGAACAGGCCCACTACAACAGCTACTAGGAGAGGTGGAAAAAGCGATAAGAACAGTGATCTGCAAATTATATATGGTGAAGGTCCAGTTTGGGGGTTTTGTTTTTTTCCCAATTTGTTGTGAGCCAATATTTTGTAAAATACACAATTGGATGCTTGGATGTTGGAGCAATGTCCAATTGTTATACAACATTCTAAATGTTTACTTGC